GAGGGGGGGGAGGGGGTTGTTTGTGTTTGGTATGGTTTGGTTTTTTGTTTTTTGGGTTTTTGTTTTGTTTTATTTTTCCCCCCAGGCAAGATCCAGAGACATCTAAAAATCTTCTGTAAAAGTTGTCAAAAAAAGTTGAACTTTGCATGTAGACTTTAGATTTTTCTGAGGACATTTTAGTTTCCTGGACAGAATTTTCAGTGAATTTAGGCATAAAATGCGGTTGTTAACAATTTTAATTTACTGCTTAATTTGGCATCTACAGCTCATCTTAAAGTCATGGTGGGCTGTCTAAAGAGACTTGTTCAAGAAGATAATCACAATTTTCCTAATTAAAGAATATTACAAATCAGAGCTCTAACAAACTGATAAATTCTGTGATAAGCTTAAATTTAACTTGGAAAGTTCAATGTAGACAAAAATTAATCCTCAAATTCAAAAAGTGAAAGGCAAGTATTAATACAAAATACTGCCCTTGCTAAACTCCATGACCAAATATGATATTTTTAAGTAGGTCCATATCATGTGTATTGACACTTCATTTATGATTCACATTTATTTACGATTGGGTGTACTGTTCTCAACACTACAAATTGAGATCTAAACCTAGGCTTTCAAATTCATATGAATAAATCTGACATAATACTTGCATTTAGATTTTGTTGGTTTCAGTATTTTGCTGATCATTCCATCTCCTCAGTTGTGCTCCCAAGAAATTCCCAGATTTTCAGGGTACTGCAATGCCTGTATTGTGATAATATTATATGAAGGTGGGGAAAATTCCTGAGGCACAGCACACTGAGGCACTCCCTCTCTTCTTAACAAAAGCTAACCTATTCAAGTTTGTTCACCTTCGTGCTGGAGCTCACACTGTGCCCACTAGCCAGAGACTGAGTTCTGCACCTCCTAGCTGACTCCTGCAATGAACTTCACTAAAACAGTTTGGCTGGCAGAAAGGAAAGAGAGTGAAATGTAAATCTGATCAGTTTGACAACTGAAATTATTAATGTCTTGAAAAGGCAACAGTGGTCCATTACGGTCATCAGCATCAAAATCATCAAAATCAAAGTAAAACCACAGTAAACTGTGAAAGCCCTCCAGGTCTGTATAGTTCACTTTACACTGTATGTAGAGAATCATGTAGGGAGGGAGGGAGAAATTAAAAGTGACACAGAAAGGAGGAAATTAATTTTTCACATTTCTTCTCCTCATTGCTTCTTCCTATCCCCAGCAGAGGCTCTGGGTACAGAGCCTCAACTCATTGAACAGACTCACTTGTCAACCTTCAGAATCTGCAGATCAGCTACCACACAGAAGGCACTGTTCCCCATTTACGTCATCAGCTTCACTGCTGTACCTAGGTATGTGTTTCACAGTGCTTTCCTCTGGGACTCCCTACCCAAGAGACAGCCTGGGCTGTTTGACAGTGAGGGGATTATTTTTTACACTGGTCTAAAAAGCAATCACCTTCCACCTCACTCCATTGTCTCAAGGCAGGAGGGAGCTCAGGGAGAGGTCTTGTCTATGTCCTGCTCAGTCTCCTTAGATAAACTGCTAAGTGCATGCAAGACAGAGGTAGCTGCAACCTTTTCTAGCAGCTTCTCCTATTTCAGAGCAAGCCAGCTCTTCTTGTAACAGAAGCCAGAAACAGAATTGCTAATCACACTCTTCTGCTTACTTGTCTTCTAGGAATTTCTACTGTACTGTGCTTTACTCCATGCACCATCACTCACACTGAAAGACCTCTAACTGAAAAGAGGCAGCCTGCCTGAGTGGTTGCTAATGCAAAATAATGGAAGAAGTAACCAATAAAAGCCAACATATTGTAGTTCTTTTTATCTCCCTGAATATCTTGATGTATATTATGGGACTAGTACCCACATTTCAGGTTCCTCCAAGCCTGACATGGACACACTGCTATGAGGATGCTGAAGCAGGAGAATGACAAATGCATCACACGAAGACATGCAGAACAGACGCTGTCAGAGGGACCGTTTTGTCATCTGGGTGCAGGGCAGAAGTCACCCAGGTCACTTTCTGCTGTGTAACAACCTCCAATTACTTTCTTGCTTTTAATAAAAAATATTTATTTACTTAGTAACTGTACAACTAGCCACCTAAGAAAGGGCAATTATTTCTAGAAAGTCTTTGGGTTGGGCATAGCAGATATGTTTCCTTTAAAATGTTTTTGCTTGACCTACAGGAAAACTGAGCTTCATTCTCTTATCCTGTCTGAAGTCCATATTGAACCCACTATGCATTTGTGTATTGTGAAATGTAAGATTATATTCCATCACCAGTGGAACATGAAGGGTGCTGCTTTTTTAGACAGTCTATTCTTCATTCTGTGAGCCATGGCTTATTAGCTGAAGCAAGCATAATACACATGACTGACAGCAGTGAATGCATTAGTTGAAATCAGATTGACCCTGGGTTTAGTTTTAACAAAGACAGATAGTTTAGACTGGAAATGGGGAGAAAAAAATAAAAGGGTGACACTGATAGGAGTGTTAAACCAAACTGCTTCTCCTGTCCCTGAATGAACACAAAAGTGAGTTTTATTGCAAGTCCCTTGTTTGTCTTCAGTAATGTAACATTTTTTGGAAGAGATGTGAGGGAATGGAATGCACATAAAAGTCTTTTGTGAAAGGTCAGGCTGAGAGTCACAGACTCAGAAGAAAAACAGGAAGAAAGATGGAGTATCAAAGAACAGACTTGAAAGCTAGGTATGAGTATCAGATGAGATTCCAAAAGAGTTGATACAGACCTGTAATAACTATGGTTTCCTGTAATGACTTATGGAGAAAAAAAGTTACATTGGGAATGACACAATCTCCTCTCACTTCTGAAAGAAGTAAAGAGCTGACAGTATTTAGTGATAGACCTTAAGATACAAAAGGATTATCTGCTTTTTTCAAGGTACTATTTTAAGTCGAAGCAAAGCCCACATGGAGATCTATGTGACTTAATTTTTGAAACACAACTTGGTTGATGAGTTAAAACTAAGAAAGCAGAGTGTCTTGTCCTATCACTGCAGTCAGCTGGTTCATCTTCAGGCTAGGTTTCATCTGGAGAGAAAAAAATTTCAGTCATGTCTCACGCATTAAAAAATCTAGCAGGTGGTATAAGGAGAAGTCTTCAAATCAGAGCATGGGGAAAAAAAGTTAAATTAAAAGATTAAAGTAGCTGCAAAATAAAAGGCCATAGCAAATAATTTTACTGTTAGGAAAATCACTCCAGAAGTGAACAAAGTGTGAATTCAGACACCTCAATTAATGTGGTATAACTACAAAAGGCAAAATTCAACACTTGACAAGAACAATATAGGCAAATCTAGATTTCTATATTAAAATTCTCTGTAATGCCACATATAACATTTCTAATTTCATTATTCAAATTATCCTCTATGGTTTAATAATCTACTGGTTGTCAGCTAATTTTCAGGAGGTTTGTATTGTGTTTAATTGATAATTTATATGTGATAACTCACTGGTGGCAAATGTTGTCAAAGGCTTAATCTAAATCTAGATTTAGACTGACTATCTAGTTGCTACCTACTTGAATGTGTTCAAGTGAGATAACATTGCTGTTCTTAAGGAACTCACTCTTCTCTTTGGCTGCAGTCACTGCTATCCAGTAATGGTTTTCCCCCTTGTCAAATACGTTATACCAGAGATGCTACCACCCTCGCTGGACAGTGGTAGATTCACCTTGGAGCTGTCTGGAACTGGTTCTGTCAGAGACAGGGGAAGTTTCTGGCAGCATCTCGCATAAGTCACCTTCACAGCCCCCTTGTATAAAGTCTTGCCTTGCAAAGACAATACACTTTGATTTTGCTTTTTACATTTTACATTTTACATTTGATTTTCTTTTATTTTCTTTGTTACCTCTAAGAAAAATCAGGTTGCAGCTGAAGGCTTCAGAGAAAATGTAAAATCAGTTTAGCCTGGGTCCCAAGGCATTTTAGTTGGCCTTCAGAGGCATGCTGACATGTCCCTGTGGTGAACATGGTGTACCCACAACTTCTACACTGACAGAACATCCCTACACTTGTGTCATACTTGGTTCACGGTTAACATGGGATATGTGAGAAAACATGCACGGGTGGTACTCAGTTATTGCTGAAGCAGCAATTTAGTAGCAGTAGGGAATACTTTAACCACAGTACCAGTTAAATTATAGTAGTTTCAGGAAAAAAGTGCATTTGGCCAGCTTAGAAAAGCTAAGCCATATGAGGCATTTCCAGGAGATGGTGCTATTCTCCAGCATTTTGCTTGAGCTTTTGCTCCTCAGAGAAAAGAGTCAGAGGATCACCTTCCTTCCCCTGCTAAGATGTGTGTTTGTGTCTTTTATAATTAAAATAACCACGAATTTATTTGGATCCTGAATTGCATATTGAAGGATCCATAGTGCTGAAATACCCTCAAAAAATGCACTGCGCCATCAGCTAGGGGATGGAAGAGGCTTCCTGCACCCACATGGAGGGAATCAGTCTCCACTAGAAAGGGAAAGTTAAGGGAAAAACCTCCTGGCTTTTTTCAGCTTTTCTTTCCCAGAGTCAAACCCTTGGGTCTTACTCTAAACAATAAATTTTCTAAACAAGAAATTTAAGCCCAGATCTGTAATGTGAGCTGGCCACTCAGTCTCACAGCATCACCTCTGCAGAGAGCTGCCTCCTCAGGTCCCTGTTCAGTTCCCAAACAAATGCCAGTGGGAATTAATGGCTTCAAACTAGAAACCATAACAGACAGTGAAGAGAAAAGAGTTGCTGAAAATTGCACGAAAAGTTGATGCCAATGCAAAAGAATGCCTCTCAAAACCTTGTCCACATTAAGCCTTCAACACCCCATTGTGCTATAGGTCTGTTCTGTGCCTCCCAACATGTGCTGGGACCAGGATGCCCCCCCCACTTTCAAAGCCAAATGGCTACTGCTCAGATGAGTTACAGGCTACAGAAGAGACAGCTCCTATTCTCACTTGTGCCTGACAAATGCTAAGCCTCACATGTCTTCAGAAAGTGTTCTAGACACCTAGTAATCTTTTCAGGAGAAAAGCTGGTTTTGTAAGCCATGTAAGAGTTGTGAGAGAAACTAAAACTAAAGGTTAGGGAAATCAACTAGAAATTAGACACCCAGTTATCAAAATTGCACAGGTAGGATTTGGAGCCTGGATGCCCATTCATTCCCAAAGATCCCAAACCATTTGGCTGTAATCCTACATCACTCTACATCTCATTTATTTTTTTCTAGCAGTGTGGCCTCATGTGGAGACCTAGGTAGTTTTCCCCAGCTTGTCCTTCAAATCAATGAACCTGTGTCCTGATGGTTAGAGCAAATCTACCAGGCTCATGGGGAAATGAGGCCAAACCTCCTGACTCAAGCCATGAAGAACACAAAGGTCTTCATCCACTGCTTTGGACGGAAGAACTTGCATTTTACATGAAGGCCGATGCAGCAGGTGTCTGGGCAGACTTGAGAAATGGCCCTTTAAAAAGGCATAGTGAAGAATCAGCAGGTTTATGAATCTTGACATGTTTAATCTTCAGCTGCAAGATGATCTACACAGCAGCAGGATCAAAGAGCCTCTAATGTGCCCAGGAGAAGTCCTTCAGGCATCGAAGGAATTTCAGTTTCAAAATTTCAGACACTGGGAGGCTCAGACAGCAGACAAGGGGGCAGAGAGACTTGCCTAGTACTGCTTTAATCTTCTAATCTCTCAGAGACTTGGTCTTTTGGGTGCAAAAAAAGAGTAATTCTTATCTTAGGGTTGCAAGGCATGCTTGAATAATGCTCCAATCCTACCAAAGTCACTAAAATGCTCAAGTGAATGAGGTGGCAGAACCAGATCCAGATTCTGGGGTGGTGGGGAAAAGAGACCCAGGAGTTTCACTTGCCAGCAGCACTCAAGTTCTGAAGGGTGAATGGTGTGTAGTCTCACTTAAAGATGAAAAGCCATAAGCATTAGTTTTGCCAAAAGAAAACTATACATTTTAAATCCACAACTATCAAACACCAATTACATTTTTTTCAAAAATTAAAGTCTGAGAAGTTTAATTCATTATTGTATTTAAACCAAGCTAAACTGTCATTTTTTTGGCTGAGATTTCACAAGGCCCAAGCATTAGAACAAACTTCTGAAATATGCACATGTAGTTCATGGGCAGTCATGGCTGAGCATTTCTGGAGGAAATAAACAAACAGATGGTCCAGTGTTCTCATGGTCACTTTTTTCTTGTACTCACTACATTTTTTGCTACTTCTTCTTTTGAATATGTGAGAGAAATTCTTGGCTTCTGTTCCCCTAATTATAAAACCACACCAAAGTCTTAAATATATTTTAGTTAAGGTGTGTAGTTGTAATTTGTCTTTGGTTTCTAGATAGACAACCCTTCAGGTTTTGGGACAAGTTTAGAAAAACCTCTTCGCTGTGGGAAGATATTTAAGCGTACACTTTAGTTTTAAAATAAATTTGAGGTTTGTTGGAGTTGTGATCAAACACTTCCCTGACAATTTCAGTGAAATAATTGGGATGTTCAGTTGGTCTGTGTTTTACTTACCAGGAAAGTCTGCAACAAGAATCTATAAACAGTGAGTGAGTGAATCAATACTTTAGACCAGGAAGCTGCTTTGAATTACATTTTTCAGCTTTTGGAGTATTGCATTAAGCTCTGAAAATGAGTCATTGGGGATAAAGAGTGGATCATAAGAACCCATTATGAATATATTACCTACATTGCATTTTAGCCTTGCAAAAGAATAGTTTCCCTGCTCAGCTGAAGGACTTGCTGAAAAAAAGGATAAAGAAGCACATGTTATATTGCTCCATG